CGTTTAATGGCCATGACAGTGACAGGACAGAAACAAGCAAGTACAACGTAACTCTGACAAAAAGCAGCAGACGAGGCACTAGACACACTCATCCGTTGCTCCTAAGTGCTAATGCTCCCCGCTGCCCCTGCCTTTAGCTGCTGTGTGTTCACGCTCTATTTTGGCCAAACAGAAAGAGGATTTTACTGAGTCACTTCTTAATAGAAGTCTTAAATCTGAATCATTATAACAGCATGGGCTTTAGGCCTTCCTTTTTTCATTTCCGTATTGATGCTCATGATGGGCCAGAATTTCAGAGATGCTTCTACCTACTCCTGGATCCTGTTATCACGAACACTGCAAACTAGGATATCACCACACTTGAAGTCTGTGGAAGTTTAAAATAAAAACGTGGCCTGATACAACCCCAGCTGCCTTTGTGCCCAGAAAGAGCTGCTGCCTTGCCTTAGCACAGCTTTCTGTTGAAACGGTTGCTCTCCTGAACCACAAAGGCTGGCACAGCACAGGGTTGTGGTCCTGGGGCAGGCATAAGGGCCTGAGTCTACAAAGAGCATTACTGTGTCTCAATACAGAAGCTATTGCAATAAGACAACTTTTCTATGCACTTCTAGAAATATATGGAGTTTCCACTTCTAGAGAGGCAGGACAGTAGCTCTGTGCAAAATATAATACCTAGGACTTTTTTGTTAAGAGAAGGTAACTGCCAGTCCTACTGATTACTGCCCTTTTCTATCTACATGGCTACTCCCCCACTGGTAGCATCACTATCAAGTTGTCTTTTGGTTCAAAAGCCATCAGGCATGGTAAACGTACAGCTTCTCTGCTGTGACGCCAGGCGGAAAGTCACCCTTTTGCAAGGTAGATACTGAAACGTGGTTAGACTGACAAAATTCCCTTAACTCACATAACCCTGCACAGCAATTAGAGATCATCATTTTCTGCCAGTACCGACCCAGTTGAGATCTGAACAGTCTAGACATGAAGCGTTGTGTCCATCACGACCAATACCTGCTATTGTCACAATCCTTCCTGCCCAAATATTCTAATGGTTATAAAGGATTCTTTAAACACATAAATAAAATATACCTCTGGGCAGACACAAAAGCTATCAGCAAGTGGAAATACAATGAGAGACTGGGAGGACCTCAATAATCAGAACATTTCTACCAAGTCTGGGGAGAAGCTTCGTCCCGGCCAGCTTGGCCACTCTGCACAGACTCAAAAGAACTGAGATGGGGGAGAGACTCTTCATGTCACCTGCTAAAATAAGAGCGCTCCCTCCAGAAAGCTTTCTTATTTCCTCCTCCCTGCCATATCTAACACATTTATAAGCTGGTATGAGCCTTTTAAGTTAGAAACTTAAATAAGTAATCTACAATTCTCCTTTCCCCTGCAGCAGCAGGGCAGAACTTGCCAGTAAGGAACATGCCATTTTAAGGTCTCCCTCAGAGACTGTAACACTCCTGGTTTTTGGAGATTCAAACCAGATCCTCTTTCATAAAACTGGCCTACGGCACCAGCCCACAAGGGCGTCAGCACCAGGCCATCAGGCTGCTGGGAATACATTTTCACTCTCCCAAGAATGAAGTATTTCCTGCCAAATACCTCGTTTATGAATGTGTCAAACTCAAGAAAATGAAGTTTAGAGGCTTCATGTCCATTGAAACACTCCAGCAGCCTATTAGAAAGGAGGGAGGGGAAAAAATTGCTGGAGAGTCTTTGGCAGAAAATATTCGCACTTGCCTGAAACGGAACATTTCCAAATTAGCAGTCCTAGCCTGCAACACTGGAAACTTTGGTAACGTAAATGCAACTTTTACAACATATAACTTCCAGATAACTTACAATTCTGCTAGTTAACACATGGTTGGCCACGGAAAAGAAAAGCAGTTTCTGCGGAAAGCCCTGAAGACTGGTTTTGACATGGAACACAGCTATGGGATACCCTGAGTACTAGAATATGTAATGAAACAATAAATGAGGAGTTGCTGAATCCCCCCCTCCCTGGGATTTCCCCTCATGAGCACTACTAGCGACACCTCAGGGAGCTCCAAGACATGGATTCCAGATGTAAGAGAAAATCTGTGTCTGCAGAGGGAAGATAGGCAACCTCGGCAGACGAGACTTCTGCTGCAAACTCACTGGCAGACCGTGAACACATTAATGCTTCCAAACCACGCCAAAACCCAGGCCATAACAGCCTCCTGCAGTTTTATTTGGGTTTCACTGCTTCAATTAACTGAGAAGGATGTGACAGCTCTGCAGCAACAGAGGGAAAGACCAGCAAAGCACCAAGGGGGGAGCCGCCAGCACTTCTGCCTTTGGGAAGGCAGCATGGGGAGAGGGCCAGCAAGCGGGGCTGCTGAAGGAAATCACACACTGATTGGGGGACAGCTTCAAAAGCAACTGGACTTTTGGGAGGTGTCAAGTCTGAGTCCCCTGTCCTAGGAACCGCTGGTCCCTGCGCCAATATCTACTGCCTGGAGGTACAATAGATAGGTCCAACGGCTGGATGTGTGCACTAACTAAAACCAGCCATGACATACTCCCAAGTGTTTGTCTTTAAATATTGCCCCTAGGTTTCAGATTCAGTGTGGAAGCACTCAGCTCACTTGTTTCACATCTCCCTCTGCCCC